GGAAGGTGCTGCAGGATACCCTGTATCAGGGGACATGCTGTGAAATATGGGCAGCACTTTAGTGTGATCCTGTTTACTTCCAAACACTAATAAATATTTTCACATGTGTAGAGAATGTTCTAGAAGGAGTTGCACCATCTGTTCACAATAGTGACCTCTGGGAATCCGTGTTAAGTGGGTGTTCGCTTCTTACCTTTGGGCCTTCAGTGAAGTCTAGATTTTTTACAGTGCACAGTTAATAAGTAGAAGAGTTAGGAGATTAGGAAGAATATAGTTTCCCTAGTTGGCAGGCAGGTTCCAGGGCTGTGCTCTTGATCTGACATTTGTGGGCCCACAGCACGTAGAGTTCTGGGATCTGGGGCTGAGCAAGAGAGTGGATCTTCTCAGGGCCCCCACAGACACTGCTTTCTGGCAGTGCAGTGCCATGGATCTCATGTGGAGGCAGCAGGGACAGAACTCAGCTGAGCCCACAGCCCTAACTCATGGCAGGGCTGGCCCCTACCCAGCTGTGGAGCAGCTTTTAGGGTAGGGGCTTCTCCAATTCTTACCAGGACACCATGTGGCATCTAGAGATGCCTTTCTGAGAGGAGGACTTGTGTTGTTTCCCTCCTACCTTCCCCTGTGTTGGCAGCTGCACAGAAGGGAAAGTGCAGTCAGTGTGAACGACATGTGGACCCACATGTCCATGGGCATGGGCAGTGTTGGAGGTGAGCCTTCCACAGAAGCAAAGATGGAGATGGCTGCTCCCCAGGGAGATGTCCTAAGCAAGGGGCTCATCACCCAGCCAGTGCCGCCCTGTAGGTGCAGCAGGAGTGAGACAAGTTCTATGGGAAGTTTATCTCAGACATCCAGGAGGTCCAGCAGAAGACAGGCTTCAAGAATCTGGTGCTGGAGCACAAGCTACAGGCGCTCAGTGCCGCCAAGGAGAAAAGGGAGGTGCAGTTCAATGAGGTGCTGGTGGCGTCCAACCTGGACCCCTCAGCCCTGACCCTGGTGTCTCACAAGCTCGAGGTAGGCCCAGCTTGGGCTTCTGCCTGCAGGGGTGGCCTCATCCTGCAGTAGGATCCTTCAGCTCTGTACTGTGTCTCTTTGGATGGGCACAGAGAGCCCTAGGTTGCCCACAGGGGATGCAGAGTGGGGTTCCTATGGGTATGTGTGGATCTTAGGCAGCTACACTAGCAGTTTCTTCTTTTCAATTTTGCTTGAACCTCTGTCAAGCCTTCACAGGTCCCTCATTCATCTGTGGTATGTCATGATCTCTGACTCTCTGCCCACTCTAGTCCTCAAGCCTGGCTTATCTGAGCATGTCAGGATCTGGTCACCCAAGTAGAGTGTGAAGAGGGTTGAGGGTGGGAAAGGCACTGTCAGAATTTCTATGGGCCTGAGCTCAGCTGCTTGTGCACAGACCCAGACATAGCCTGGGGGGGGGGGGCGACTGTGTCTCCTCAGCATCTCTGTGTCTGGGGCACTGCTCCTGTCCTGGGATAGAGACAGTACTGGGAGGTCCCCCAGGGTGTGTGGATTTAGGATGTGGATAGTTACAATGGGGAGTGTGGGGCTGGGTGAGCCTGAAGGCTCTGACCCAGCCTTGGTGATACTAGGGGATGTGAGGTGTGAGCAGAGCCCAGAACATGCTCTATTGTGTTCCCACCACTGTTTGGTGCTCTGCTAGAGTGGTCCTGGCATGGGGGACAACCAATAGAGCAGGTGAGACCTTGGCCCCATGGGCCAGCTGGAGAGACAGCATGTGGTCAGCTACAAATCAGGATCCTGAAGCCTCTGAAAGAGCCTTTTTGGTGGCCTCTTACCTGACGTCAGGCTTCTGGAGCTGCCCTGTCCATCTGCTCCCTGGACCTGGTTGGGAGGAGGCAGAGGAGGAACAGATGATGCAGAATAGGGGGACTTTGGCTGACACTGTAATCCTGACCAGCTAGGGTGACCCTGGCTCCTTGGAGGCCCTCAGATACAGATGGTCCATGCCCAGGCCCAGCAGCTGCCCTGAGCTGGAAACAGATAGTTTTAAAGCCTCCACCACAAGGCCCAGTGAAGCAAGGCCAACTTGTCCCAGACATATAGCCTTCCAGGGCCATAGGACACCTGTTCATCTCTGTTGTTTGTGCCACACATGGCCTGCGGAAAAGCAGACGTCTAGGCTGTAGGCTTGAGATTTCTTTAGCTGTCTATAGAAGTATTTTTTTTTATCCTGAGAACTATCTTAGGTGCATTTTGAAAGTGATTTGTTAGTGTACAGGTCAATTGAGCATAAATGCGTTCTGCTCACCACTGACTGTAGGTCCAGGGGATTGACTGTTTCACATCAGTCACCTAATCTCTAAGACATTCTCACCTGGCTTTTTCCTGTGCCCATACACCTACTCACATGTGCAGCTGTCCACCTGAGGCCTGAGCCAGTGAGCCTCTGCTGAGTTGTCCTAGAACGCCCCGCCCCCAGTATTGAGAGCTGCAGGACTGAAGCTGAGGGCACTGTATGCTACTTGAGACCCACAGACCTTTGCAGTCCCTCTGACCTCAAAGTGTTCCAGGTGCATAGTGCTACTTCTTCATGAGCTCTCCTCTGGTATGTACTGAATCTTCATGTTTTCCTTGATTTTCTGCCATGTGCCATTAAAACTCCCCATGGTTCTAATTATTCTGGGTGGTTCCTTCCATAACAGATCACCCCCCACCAAAGACCCTGTGGTGGATTAGGGCTTGTCATTCTGATGTGTCACTGTGATCTCAATCTCCACAGCCATCCTGTTTAAAGAGAAAGCATGAGCCACAAGCTGCAGAAGCAATGTGGTGGCAATGAGGCTGAAAGGAATGTGGCCTAGGAGGGTTGTGGACACTGACATTGCTGACTCCCGGTGCCACAGACAGTGTAGAGCACACACAGGCTGTGGCCATTTGTCACACCCTGGCTGTTGTGCTGCTGGGCATCTGTGTTAGAGAAGATGCAGACCCATCAGAATCTACTGTTCTGCAGGGCAGCAGGTTCACCCTCTCTCCTAACCCACTTTTGCCATTTTCTCCCCTACTCCAAACTTTTATATTTGCTGCATGTGTCATGCCCAGGTAGAATTTCTCCCCAGGTAGAATGCAAGTCCTTCAGCGTGGGAGTATTTATTTATTTACTTACTAGGAGACAGAGTCTTGCTCTGTTGCCCAGGCTGGAGCGCAATCACAGGTCACTGTAGCCTCCAGTTCCTGGCTCAAGCAATCCTTCTGCCTCAGCTTCTCAAGAATCTGGTATTGCAGGGCACATATCACCATGAAGTCTGGCTAGGAATACACACACACACTTTTATTTCAGAAATGGAGGTCTTGCTATGTTGGTCAACTTACTATGTTGATCAAGCCATTCTCTCAGGAACTGCTAGGATTACAGGCATGAAGGGCTGTGCCTGGACTATTTTTCTTTATTTTCATAGAAATTCCTTCTCATTAAATGTCTGTTAGCACTAACCAGCAAATATCCTCTACTTCCAAGTCCCAGAAGATGATTCAGTTGGTTTTTAATGAAGAAAAAGTGACTAAATGAGAAAACGGACTTAAATTGTTCAAAGGAAAAAAAGAAAAAGACTGTTTTTCCTTTGACAAAGAGTCTCTGCTTGGCCCAACCTTATTTAAGCTCCTTAGCCTTCCCTGGGCCAATTTTTGCATTTCCTTGTAAAAGTCAGGGTTTGCAAAGAACCCCCTAAGTCAGTTTAGCAAGAGTTGTCTCAATTTATGATCATCCCCCACCAACCCCAGGTGATGTCTGATCTCTTTGGCCTGCCTTCTTTTAGGTAGATATGGCCAGAATTCCCCCTCACCCCTATGATTCCTCTTATTAACTACCATCCATCAAGGCTTACCTGCTCCTTGGCTCTAAATTCCTGCTCAACTGTGCTGTACTTTTTGCAAGCCAAGAAACACCAAAGATTGTTAGCAAACCACCAGAAGCTGGAAGAGGCAAGGAAGGATTCTAAACATGCTTCAGACCCTGCCAACACCTTGATTGTGGAATTCTAGCCTCCAGAACTGTGAGATAATAAATTTATGTTTTAAACCATATAATTTGTAATAGAGGAAGGTGTTTGCTTTTACATTTTTGTTTCTCTATAGAAGGAGAGTAAGGATCTAGGATTCCCCTGGACAAAGTGGAGGTATTCCCTCCTTCATCAGCAAGAGATACACCATACATGCACACAAATACATCACACATATATGCAGGCACACATGAATGCACATACACCCTTGAACCCCTACACCCACCCTGATACACCTACCCAGGAAACCCCCTTGCATGCATGCATAAGACATAGCACACATGTACATATGCATGCACACACGTGTCCTTCTCAGGCTTTCACTTCATAGGCTACAGAGCTTGGTGGAACTAGGAGAGGAACCAGAAGAAGCCAAGGAAGGAGTGTGGCAGCAGAGGGGAAGGGTACATTAGAAGAGGCCACACTTCCCAGGAAAACAGGAGATTCCCTTCCCTGGCCCAACTCTGTCTCAGATCCTGGGTTTCTCTCCCAGGGCTAAGAAATTGGTTCTCCAATAATTTAACCAGATAGACTCCAGGCTTATACCTTTCCAGGAGTTGGATTCTGTGGGTATGAGTTCCCTGTGGTCTTCCTGAACTCATCTCCCTTCAGTGATAAGAGAATGAGATACATGCTTGGGCTTCAGACTTTTATGGAGAAAAAATTTATTAGAACAGAAGGCCAAAAATTAGCCCAAAAACTAACCATGGAAGGGATCAGTGTGGGAAAGAGCTACTAGTCAGCACCCCCTGAACACTGAAGGACCTTCCCACCAGTTTTTCTTCTTCATTTCTAGTCATGAAAATACAGGATTTGGTTAATCAGTTATTTCTGATCTTTACACTTTTGGGGAATCTAAGGGGTCAAGAGACTTCTTGTGAAGCCCTCTCAGAGGTAAGGTGTAGAGGTGTGTTATGGCCACATTTGCTCTATTGTGGCTGTTGAGATATTTTTATCACTAATGACTTATTAACCCTTCTTGAAAGCATAGGCATTTGTGTGTCTCCTCTGGTGTGTGAGGAGGTGTGCCTTTTGACTAAATCCTCGCCCAAAGTCCCTGCAGACATAGGGCTTTTCCCCTATGTGTGTCCTCTGTGTGTGAGGAGATTTGACCTATTATGGAAGCTCTACCCAAGGTCCCTGCACACATAGGGCTTCTCCCCTGTGTGTGTCCTCTGGTGTGTGAGGAGGGTTACCTTTAGATTAAATCCTTGCCCACACTCCCTACAGACATACAGCTTCTCCCCTGTGTGTGTCCTCTGGTGTCTGAGGAGATTTGACCTATCACGGAAGCTCTACCCACAGTCCCTACAAATGTAGGGCTTCTCCCCTGTGTGTGTCCTCTGGTGTCTGAAGAGGGATGACTTATGACTAAATCCTCGCCCACAGTCCCTGCACACATAGGGCTTCTCCCCTGTGTGTGTCCTCTGGTGTGTGAGGAGGTGTGCCTTTTGACTAAATCCTTGCCCACAGTCCCTGCACACATAGGGCTTCTCCCCTGTGTGTGTCCTCTGGTGTGTGAGGAGGTATGCCTTTCTACTAAATCCTTGCCCACAGTCCCTGCACATGTAGGGCTTCTCCCCTGTGTGTGTCCTCTGGTGCCTGAGGAGGTGTGCCTTTTGACTAAATCCTTGCCCACAGTCCCTGCACACGTAGGGCTTCTCCCCTGTGTGTGTCCTCTGATGTGTGAGGAGATTTGCCTTTAGACTAAATCCTCGCCCACAGTCCCTACACACATATGGCTTCTCCCCTGTGTGTGTCCTCTGGTGTCTGAAGAGGGATGACTTATGACTAAATCCTCGCCCACAGTCCCTGCACATGTAGGGCTTCTCCCCTGTGTGTGTCCTCTGGTGCCTGAGGTTTGACTTATTACTGAAACTTTGCACACACTCTCTATTCTTGACTTTTACAATTCCTGAGATCCCTATTGCCACACAAAATTTTTCTGTATCCCCTGGACCCACTTTCTGGTCTGGTCTGGGCTCTTCCTCTATCATTCTTTCACCCTCCCTAGAACTCCCCATTTGTCCTTTGGGTGGGCAGGAAAATATCCTTGAAATCCTGCTCTGCTGTGTCTTTTTATGAGAGGTTTTTGACATTTCTTTGACTTCTTGACCTTTGGTTTTGTCATTCCTGCTGTTTGGATCAGAATGTTGCTGCTCCTGATTCTCATCCCTGGGGCAGGGAGTTTGTGGTCGGAGGTTTTTTCTTCCAGATGTTCCTTGGGAGATCTGAGAGGGGTGGGTGCGTTCTACATGTTGACTGAGGAATTTCTGAGTGGAGAAGGCCAGAGAGCATGATGGACATGGATGAATCTCTGGCTTTGGTTCTACTGAGAGAGGAAATTTTTGGTTAGAATAGATGTAAACAAGGCTGTCTGGGCTGTCTACTTTGTTATGTGGTAAGGGCTATTCCACTAATCATTCTTCTGTACCTTAACAAGGCAGATGATCTCCCACCAAGTGTTTGATGGACCTTTACAGTCCATTTTTCTGTTCTATTTTTATTCAATACCTCTGTTTGTTTGTTAGTTGGTTTGTTTTTGCTTTAAGACAGAGTCCCATTTTGTCTGCCTGGATAGAATGCCATGGTGTCACAGCTCATAGCAACCTCCAACTCTAGGGCTCAAGCAATCCTCTTGCCTCAGCTTCCCAAGTAGCTGGGATTACAGTCACCTGCCACAACACCTGGCTATTTTTTAAGAGAAGGGTCTTACTCTTGCTCAGGCTGTTCTTAAACTCCCAAGCTCAGGCAATTCACCTGCCTTGGCCTCCCAGAGTGTTAGTATTACAGGGGTAAAATCCAGAAAATCCACATCATGTGCCTTCTCTACAAATAAGCCACACCATGGATCCTCCAGTAGCTCAGAGGCAGTTTCACTCATTCCATAGATGGAGCTGCAGTGAATTTCCCTCAATAAACCACAAATATCTTCCAAGCCATTTCAAATCTCCATTGCCCCCCTCACAGGCTCCCTTCCCTCACACCCATCCCTAGATTCCCTACAGAGTTTGCAGCTGTTTCATTCTACTGAGAAAGGAAACTCTTGATGACTTAGGGGAGAATCATCTCTAATGACTTTTCCTATGAGGGGAAAGAGATCTATTAAGTGAGGAACCACCAGCCTGGAGGATGTGTGAATGTGGAAGGCAGCACGGGGTTGTGGCTAAAGAGAGCTTGTGTGAGTGAGTCTGAATTTGAGTCTCCCTGTTCAAGAAGACATATTTTATTGAGGACTCTTGTGTGCCTGACTCTCCACAAGAAAGTGGGATTCAGGTTGGACAATACAGACTCATCCAGGTCCCACTGACTAAAGGGCTCTGGGTATTGCTGTCCCAACTAGGCCATGGATTGCCACAAATCACTAAAGGAAAATATGTCTTTCCTCAGCCCACACAGGAAGTATTCATGCTTGACTTGTCTTTCAGTCGTCATCTGTTTCAAATACAATAGGAAGTCTTGTTTTAACATATATTCTTATTTATTTATTTATTTTTGAGACAGAGTCTCCCTTTATCACCCTTAGTAGAGTGCTGTGATGTCATAGCTCACAGCAACCTCCAACTCTTGGGCTTAAGCGATCCTCTTGCCTCAGACTCCCAAGTAGCTGGGACTACAGGCACCTGCCACAATGCCCAGCTATTTTTTCTTTAGAGATAGGGTCTCCATATATGTAACACATATCCTTAATCAGACTTCTTACCTCCCGGACCTCCTTCATCTCTCCCACCTGAAGACTGAGGAGTCTCTGAGCAGATTACCGACTGCAGTCTATTTTCTGAAAATTAACCAAAGCTTCAGCTTAGAGTAGAGAACTGAACAGAGAAATGAAAACTCCAGTGTCTTGGCATGATTCATAGGCCCTATGTTTCCAGGTTTCTTTGTGTCTCTCCCACTTTTGCTCTTACCCTCTCTGGTTCCTTCACCTGAGTGGTCTCTGGCACCCTAACTCTCCCTGCCACCTAGTCATTGCCCTGAATCGTTTGGCTGGTGGTGTTTACACTTCTCAAATACAATCCCCTGAGGGGAACATTCCCTGACCACCCTGCTACATGACCCCTCCCCTAACACTGGTGCCTGGGCACTTTTTCTGGCCTAGTGTTCTTCAAAGCACTGCTCACAGTCTGATCTGCATAGGTCTGTATCTGTGTGTGTGTTGTTTCCTTATTCACGTGTCAGCTATCTAGGAGCAGAGATTCTGAGTGTTTTGTTCAAGCCCAACTACTAGCTCCTGGAACACTGGCACAGAGAAGGAATTCACATGACAACTAATTGAGGTAATGAGTGAATGAACAATAATATAAGCATATTACTTAAAAATATGGAGGAATTTAAGAAGAAACACCTAAAAAGGCCTGAAGAAACTACCTTGTTGAGAGAGCTGGTAGGCAAGACAACTTGCTTTTTGCCTACAAGGTTTTTAGCATTATCTGATGTTATAAATTTTATGCCTGAAGTACTTAGAATATGAAATAAGATCAAAAATTAAAATTTTAAAAATTGTTTGTAGAATTCAAAGGCATATGGCATGAATCTTTAATTTCAGAAGCACATGATTGGAAATTTTACTGACTTTAGACTGAATTTTACTCTACTTAAGTGAACAAAGCTGAGCACAGTGGCTCAGGCCTGTAGTCACAGAAATTTGGGAGGCTGAATAAGGAGGGTCACTTAAAGCCAGGAGTTCAAGGCTTCAGTGAGGTATGATTGTATCACAGCACTCCAGCCTGGGTGACAAAGTGAGACCCTGTCTCTAAAGAAAAAAAAAAAAGAGGAAGAAAAAGAAAATAAAAATAAAAATATAGAACAATAATAGCTGAATCATGAGAATTCCCAAGGAGACGCTTTCCTTCCCTTTCCCTCCTAGGGAGTCATGGTGGTGCCCACCTTGCCCTGCTGTGAGCTCTTTCTTCCACTTGCTTCCCCACTTGATGCCCAGTTCCTGGCCATACTCATCCCCATACCAGACCAGCAGTTCACAGCCTGGCCTGATGACTCGGCAGGTCCGATAGAAGATCTGCCTGTGGTATTGGAAGGCCACCAGGTTCTGCTCCTCTTCATCTCGGGCACAGTTCACATACCTATGGTTGAGCAGCAGAGGGAAAGAAGACAGGCAGTGAGTTCCCACCACCTGTCAGGTCCACATCTGGCTTGTCCCCTGGTGGTCAATGCCTCCGTTGTCTGGTGCTGCCTACTTCCCATTACTCCCCAGACTCTCTCTGCTCTCACCCGAGTCTTTTCAGTGTTTTATGAATTACTGCCTCTAGATCCTGCTTACAGGGCTCATCCTGCTTGGAATGCTCAAGTCAGCTTTGTGTTAAGAGGCTACTCCTAGTTTCTCCACATTTTACCCACATTAGAGGACTGTCCTAGCAAAACACCATAGAACAGTAATTGTTTATTTGTATCCTTTCTTCCCTGATTAAGTAAGAGCCCCTCATGGAGAGGGGCTGGGCCTGGCAGCACAGACAGCCAGGACTGTCCTGAAGTTTGCTTCCCAGGGTGCAGGGCCCAGATTTAATTTCACCAAGCACAGGAAGATTTCCTGCCCTCACAAATTAAAGGTCCTTTGTATTATGCTGTCTTGGCACTGTGTGCATCTTGTAAAATAAGAAAATTATGGTCAAATATTCCTATAATTAAATGTTTCATGTCTGTCTACAATACATCCTCCACAATGACATGGGTTGTGAGATCTGCTCAAGTAATGATCTTCATTTTCTAAACTGGAAAACAGTAAGTGCATAATGAATGAGGATTAGATAAAATAATATGTGAATCACATTTTATCTAATGTGATTAGATAAAATAAATATGAATAATATGTGAATTGGGTTCCCAATGAATCTAGGCTCCTCAAGGTTTATCCTGCTGCCTCAATATAGTGTATCATAGAGATTTATATTTTGATAAAAAGTTAGAACATTTATGTTTTTATTTATTTTTCTGAATGTTTGTGATGTTAAAGATCATTATATGGAGAAAAATAGGAAAAGAGGATACAAAAACCACTGAAGGAAGCGTGATGAAAAAAAAAGGAATCTGAGCTTGTGAGAGACAAATGCTTCTCTGGAACCTAGAAAACTACTGTCCTTACCTCATCCAGTTGCCTTGAGATTCATCCTTCCCATCCACATACTCATAGCAGTTTCTCCCCTTGGTGATCTGAGTTTTAAAAAAATAAGTTAAAGGCTGTTCAGAGAGTATTAATCAGAAGACTTATTCTACTCTACTGTTATCAGTGCCCTCTGAGCCTGCGTGGACTCAGCCGCCAGCCTTAGGCATCAGCTCCACGTCTGAGTCCCACCATCCCATTGGAGCACAGGCCCATAGGGAGGATGTACCTCTTTGTGCCACTGTGCTCCTGCATACTCTCTGACCTTTACATTGGAGCTCCCTGCCCATGCAGAGACCACTGCACACACAGAGTTGACCAAGTTATCTCTGTGCATGTCCTTCCAGGTAGGGGGCGACTTCCAACCAAAGGCACAGAGGGATGTGGGAAGCCAAAACAGGGGAAAGGGTAGGCACTTCTCACCAGCCAGGAGTATCCACTGTTGGCTGCCTCTTCGTCCTCTGTGACCTGGCCCTCATAAGGGCCAAAGTGCAGCCCCAGTTGTAGATCAGATGCCTCATTCCATACTCCAAACCCAGCCTGAGGGATGCCCGAAGTTCTAATTCCCAGCCCAGAGGGCAGGCTGAGGACTGAGCGGTTGGGGTGCCCCTTCTCCACTGCAGTGTCCTTTACAAATGTAGGGGGCCCATGAACAGCACAATTGTCAATGAAGAAGTTCTGACACTTTTCACAATCTGGCGGTGAAAACAGTAGCAGTTAGGAGAGGTGTAGTGCATGTTCTTGACATAAAGAGCTTCAGAGCGAGCCTAGTGCTCACATCATTTAGCCTCGGTCCTATACTCCAAGTCATTAGAGTAAAGGGATGATTTGGGGGCCAAAGGATGAGATGAAATCATTGTACCAGGACCTAACAGCCTTATGTGTGAGTATGGCAAAGGGTCACTTACAGAGATAGTCATCATCTTGAGGCTCGCTGACCTCTTTGTAAGCATGGCCCTTTCTTTCTCGCAGGCTATACATCCTCACTTCAATCTCCTTTATCCTGAGATCTAAATTGGGGAAGAGTAAGTGAGTGAAGGTGGGAGTCTGGGGTGTTCATCCTTGTTCATCAGAAAATGTGAACTCTCCTACCATCAAATTATCATTTATTCTTTATACATTCTGGTGCCACCCTACAACCCCCAACTACTGGTTCAGGTTCAGAGAGATTAAGACTCCACACCCACACTGACTACAGATACTTAATTCACTTTTAGTTTCTGGCTGTTCCCATTATCTCATTAACCTCCCAAACTTTCTACTTATGACACAGTCCATTCATGAATTCATTCATTCACAAAATATTTGTTGAGGGCACATTACATGTTAGGCATTAAGTAAAGACCTGGTCACTGAGGAGGCGTAGTCTCTATTATCAGAGATGGATTTACTGGACATCTTTTATGTATTAATTCTTTTATATTTAATGCTTTTAAGCAATATATGAGCTATGTATATTTATCTTCATTTTATGGATTGGCATTCAGGAGGTCAGAAAAGTTATAACATTTTCCCCAGGCCCCAATGCTTCAATGTCAAAGTCAGCCCCATATATCTACACCATATTCATCACCCTTCTAAAGCTCTAAAGAGGGTGGTGCCCATAGCTCAGTGGGTAGGGTGCCAGCCACATACACCAAGGCTGGCAGGTTCAAATTTGGCCTGGGCCTGCTAAACAACAATGACAACCGCAACCAAAAATTAGCCAGATGTGGCAGGTACCTGTGGTCCCAGCTATTCAAGAGGCTGAGGCAAGAGAATAACTTAAGCCCAAGAGTTTGAGGTTTCCATGAGCCAAAATAAAGTCTAGAGAGACAAAGTCCCCAAGGTATTTTCTCTTACCCGATTTTCGTCCAGAATGCTGTCCAGAGGTACTTGCTTCTCTGGGAGAGGACATATGTTTCTGGTGCTGCTCTGAGCCACTAATGTTCGGTAAACTTGCTGGTCCTGACAATTCCTTCAAATGCATATTAAAAGACAACATGCATTTCTTTAGTATTTTAGGGTTTGCAGTGTGTTTTCAGACACGAGTTTAGTTAATGCTTCAATAACCCTTAGAAATAGCCCAGTGTAGTAGCTCATGCCTGAAATCCTAGCACTCTGGGAGACCAAGGCAGGTGGGTTGCCTGAGCTTAAGCGTTCGAGACTAGCCTGAGCAAGAGTGAGACTCCATTTCTATTAAAAACAGAAAAACTAGGCCAGGTGCTGTGGCTCATGCCTATAATCCTAGCACTCTGGGAGGCTGAGGTGGGTGGATATCCTGAGCTCACAGGTTCGAGACCAGCCTGAGCAACAGCAAGACCCCTACCTCTAAAAATAACCAGGCGTTGTGCAGGCACCTGTAGTCCCAGCTCCTCAGGAGGCTGAGGCAAGAGAATCCCTTGAGCCTAAGAGTATGAGGTTGCTGTGAGCTATGACGCAATAGCACTCTTCCAAGGGGGACAAAATGAGACTCTGTCTCAGAAAAAGATAAAAAATAGGGAGGTGCTTGTGGCTCAAAGGGGTAGGGCGCTGGCCCCACATGCCATGGGTGGTGGGTTCAAACCCAGCCCTGGCCAAAAACTGTGAAAAAAATAAATAAAAAATAAAAAAACTAGCCAGGTGTTGTGGTAGGTACCTGTAGCCTCAGCTACTTGGGAGGCTGAGGCAAGAGGATCTCTGAGAACCAGGAATTTGAGGTTGCTGGGAACTATGATGCCATAGTACTCTACCCAGGGTGACTCTGTGAGACTGTGTCTCACAAAAAAATAAATAACCCTTATTAATGCCTGGGATTCTGAATCCTAAAGGAAAAAGGGAGAGCCTAAATGGGCAGCAAGTGAAGGACTAGAGCCTATGTCTTTTTTTTTTTTTTTGAGACAGAGTCTCACTGTGTTTCCCTTGGTAGAGTGCTGTGGCATCACAGCTCACAACAACTTCAAACTCTTGGGCCCAAGCAATCCTCTTGCCTCAGCCTCCCAACTAGCTGGGACTACAGGTGCCTCGCATAACACCTGGCTATTTTTAGAGATGGGGTCTTGTTCTTGCTCAAGCTGGTCCTGAACTTGTGTGTTCAGGTAATCCACCTGCCTCAGCCTCCCAGAGTGCTAGGATTATAGGCATGAGCCACCACTCCAGGTCCAAGAGCCCATGTCTTAGGGCTCTTTCCCTTTAACTTTCTCTCAAACTTTTCCATATAAGTGAAGGCAAAAGAGGGAAGATGCTTGGGAAGACTAGCTGGAGAACTGACAAGTCTGTGGAGGAAAAGGTAACGGTTGATGGAGGAAAAAGAAGATCTTCTGTATGTTAATGGGCATTTGATGTAATGAGAAGGAAAAGCACAAAGGTACAAAACACCTTGAAAGTAAAACAGAGCAGAGAGGTTTGGGAGAGATGAAGAAATGGTTGGCAAAAGTGTATCTAGACAACTAAGAAAGGAATGCTACAAGTTGCAAATTGCCATGTTTTGGAAAGAATATTGACATTGGAATTAGATTAGTTGGTTTCTGTTCTAATTCTGCTTGAATAAGGGTGTTATTAGCTAATTCTCTTTAATTTCCTGATTCATAAATTGGCATACATGTTATAGTGAACATCAAACATAATCATGTTTGCCAAAGTGTTTTGTGAGCTATCTAACAGTGTAAATGTGAGAGTAATAATTAATCTCATGGTATGGATCCAATTTCCCTCCTGAATCATCTCTACAGTTTAAATCTAACTCTAAAATACTATCTGCAGCATTCTTTGATCCTGTTACTTATTCTTTAATTTGTATTTTTGGAATCACTCTTTCAGAAAACACTCAAGGGATGCTCAAAGAGCTCACAATGCAGAGACAGCAGGTTAAACAAATGATTCCAAAGAGTCTGAGAGTGGCCTAGATAGAGAGTGGAAGAAGGAGCCATTATTGTCTCCTGCAGGAGAAAGAATCTGGAATCAGTTCCAGAAGGATATATTTTTACTGAATAGTGATTACCTAAATGAAGTCCTAAGTTATTTTATTTGTTGTTTTTCAGTCTTCAAACCAGAAGCTCCTCAGGGATGGAACTTGGTTCCTTTTATCAGAATGAGTCCCTTGGGCCAGGCACAGTGGCTAATGCCTGTAATCCTAGCACTTTGGGAGGCCAAGGTGGTTGGATTGCCTGAGCTCACAGGTTGGAGACCAGCCTGAGCAAAAGCAACACCCTATCTCTAAAAATAGCAGGGCGTTGTGGTGGGCACCTGTAGTCCCAGCTACTTGGGGTGGGGGTGGGGGGCGCTGAGGCAAGAACATTGCTTGAGCCCAAGAGTATGAGGTTGCTGTGAGCTATGACACCACAGCACTCTACCAAGGGTGACAAAGTGAAACTGTCTCAAAAAAAAAAAAAAAAAAGAGAGAGAGAGATTGAGTCCCTTAAGAGGGGAGCAACCCCTATCCCTTATCATCTGGGACAATCCCCAGGATACACTGTCTGTGTTTCTGTAAGTGTCTCTTGGTCAGAACATCTTCCTGAATCACTCACTTTACCATAACAGAGAGAAAACTGAGGTTGGAAACTCAGTCAGATGAATGATGGAGGAATAAGACAGAATATATTTTATAAAACAATGAAAGTTTTCAGAAGCTTGTAAGTGCTTTAGAGAAGTTTGAATTAGACTTCACCAACCCTAAATGTGATTTCAGGCATATAATCAAATATTTTTGTACTACAGCTTCCTCATATTTAAAATGAGGTTATAGTTTTAGTAACTACCTCACAGGTTTTTGGAAGGCTTAAGTGAATTTATTCATGTAAAATGCTTAAAATAAAGTCTAAAGTATTACAAAAATAAAACAATGATAGCAATTATGGTTACTGTTCTTATTAACTCTTAAAAATGAGGATGCTGACAGACAGCGTGCTAAAGAGACCAGGAGAGGAAGGCAGCAGTTGCAGACACTCTGTGCAATCTCCTCTTACCTGTGTTTGGGTTCCTGAGGAAGAATTTCTTGTCAATAGGGTTTGGAAGACACTCACCTTCTGGCGTTTACTCTGTTCCATTCTGAAGGCCATCCAAGGGTGTTTGACTAAAAGTAAAGAGAAATCAGTGGTACGGTTGGTAAATGTTACCAAACTCTGGAGATTCTCAATAGAAACAGGATTCTGAAGTAGACAGTGATAATTCCAAGTATTAACTAAGGGTAATATTAAAATGTTTTCTGAAGTATCCTTAAGGCCTATACTTCTATCAGAGGCATTGTTAATTTTTTTTCTTTTCTTTAGCTCACGTCTGTAATCCCAGCACTTGAGAGGCTAAAGTGGGTGGTTTGCCTGAGCTCATAAGTTGGAGACCAGCCTGAGTCAGTGCAAGACACAATCTCTAAAAATAGCCAGGAATTGTGGTGGGCACCTGTAGTCCTAACTACTTGGGAGGCTGAGGCAAGAGAATTGCTTAAGTCCAGGAGTTTGAGGTTGCTGTGAGCTGTGATGCCATAGCACTCTACCAAGGGGTGACAAAGTGAGACTCTGTCTCAAAAAAAAAAAAAAGGTCTTTTTAATAGGCAAAACTTTATCTCTGCTTCACCGTACGTTCACAAGTGTGTATATATATATATATATATATATGGCTCTATTTGCAGGGGAATGGGAATTTAATCTATTAAATAGGCCAAGTCCCATGTCATCATCTGATTCTTCAGACTCCTCTTCTCATCTTTTCCTCTGCTGCAGCAGGGGTGGAACCAGCAGCAGGAGCTACAGCACTTGGTCAGCAGAGACAGCCCCAGCCCCACCCAGGCAATGACATCCTCAATGCTTTTTCCATCTAGCTCACTGATGACCTTGTTGAGCTGGTCGTCATCTGACTTGATGCCTATGCTGTCCAGGACCTTCTTGACGTCCTTGGCACTGTGGGAGGGGTTGCTCTCACAGGGTTGCCCCCCACTCAGAGCAGCCAGAAGGTAGGAAACAACATAGTATATCTTCTTGGTGGCTTCCCTAAGGGAAAGGAAGTCACTGACACAGGTATCTACTATATATATATATATATATATATTTTTTTTTTTTTTTTTTTAATAAATATACTGGAGCCAGGTATAGTGGCATGCACCTGAAATCCCAGCTACTCAGGAGGCTGAAGTGGGAGGATAGCTTGAATCCAGGAGTGTGAGATTATCTTGGGAAACATAACAAGACCCTGTCTTTAAAAAAATGAATGAATAAAAAAATAAATTGATTGGCGTCTCATGACAAATACACTGAACAAACTAGGAACAGAAGGAGATTACTGGTCAGGTGCGGTGCCTCATGCCTGGTAATCCTAGCACTCTGGGAGGCCAAGGTGAGTGAACTGTATGAGCTCAGGAGTTCTAGACCAGCCTGAGCAAGAGTGAGACCCTGTCTCTACTAAAAATAGACAAAAGTAGCTGGGCCTCGTGGTGCCTATGGCTCTAGCTACTTGAGAGGCTGAGGCAGGAGTACCTCTTGAGCCCAGGAGTTTGGAGTTGTTGTGAGCTATGACACCAGAGCACTCAACCCAGGGTGTGTGAGTGAGACTATGTCTTAAAAAGAAAAAAAGAAAGAAAGAAAGAAAAAATAGAGAAGGAAATTACTTCATCATAAAAAATTTCTAAATTTTAGAAAAACTCTAGAGTCTCTAAATTTTAGAGAGTCTCTAAATTTTAAAACTCTAAATTTTAGAAAAATCCCACATCTAATATCATACCTAATGTCGAAATACTAAAAGCCTTTCCTCTAAGATCATAACAAGGTAAAGATTTCCACTTTTACTTTTATTCAACACAGTACTGCAGTCCTTGCCAAAAAGATTAGGCAAGAAAAAGAAGCATCCAAATTGGAAAGGAAGAAGTAAAGTTGCCTCTGTTTGTAAACTACACAATTTTCTATGTAGAAAACCATAAAGAGTCCACAAGAAAACAGTTAGAACTGATAAATGAATTCGGCAGGGTTGCAGGATACATCAGTTGTGTTCCTACACACTAACAATGAATAATCCAAAAAGGAAAATAAAAAAAAATCCCATCTACAATATCTTCAAATAGAATAAAATACTTAGGTATAAACTTAGGCAAAAGAATTAAACATCGAAGACTAAAAAATTCATGAAATAAATTAAAGCCACAAATAAATGGAAAGTCATCCTGTATTCACCAATTAGGATATTAAATATTGTTAAAATGTTCAACATATCAAAATGATTTACAGATTCAATGCCATCCCTATCAAAATGCCAATGTCATTAATTATAGAAATAAAAAAATCTAAAAATGTATATGAAACCTCAAGGGATTAAGAATAGACAAAAAAATGTTAAAAATGAACACAGTTTAAAGCCTCACATTTCCTGATTTCAGACCAGACGAGGTCTGACAATTAATTCTGTGAACTCACCCTAGAAAAAGTACTACACACCTCATTGCAGATTATCACTGTGGTCACCTTCGAAGCACTCCCCTTGGGAAGCTACACAAATGCACTGACACCAGTGCCTAATCCACCTTTCAAAGCAATTTTGAAACTCCTTTTTTGGAGTGGCAATTAAAGCTATCATCCTATTATCCTGATGTCATCAAAATATTTTCCTTTCAATATTTTATTTATCTTTAGGTAAAGAAAAAAGTCACAGGGGGCCAGATCAGTTGAGTGGGGGAGGTCCAATACAGTTAGTTATTTGTGTCCTAGCTAAAAGTTCCCTAACAGACAGTGCCGTGTGAGCCAGCGTATTATTGTGATGCAAGAGCCATGTGTTGTTGTCCAAGATTTTCAGTTAAGATTTTACTAACTGTTTATTAGTATTTACTTGGTCCGCTATGCTTCTTGTGGTCATCTGACAAGTTCAGTGAATAATTTGACAAATTCTTGCAATGTTTTCCTCAGTAATGCTTGTTACTGGCCATCCTGACCTCTTTTCATCAGGGATGCTTTCTCTCCCCTCAGAAAAACATTTAATCCATTTCTACACTGCCATTTTCTTTATGGAATTATCTCCATGAACTTGGTCTAATGTGCCCCTGATTTCATTTCCACTCTTGCCAAGTTTAACAAGAAATTTACAAATGTCTGTTCATTGTTCCAATTGAAGCTCTGACATTGTTGCAACAACACACAAAAACGTGCAAGAATAATACTGAACACCACTCAGCAAGACACCATCACATGTCAATACAAACACAACTATGAGACACTGATATACCAAGGTTATGAAACCTTACAGTGCTTCCAATATAAGTCTTAAATTCATGAACTTAATTGTCAGATCTTGTGTTAGAAAGCTATGGTCCTGTAATCCTAGCACTCTGGGAATCTGAGGGGGTGTATTATTGAAGCTCAGGAGTTTCAGATCAGCCTAGGTGAAAGTACGACCCCATCTCTACTAAAAAATAGAAAGAAATCCCTGGGCATTATGGCATACATCTCTAATACCAGCTACTTGGGAGGCTGAGGCAAGAGGATAGCTAGATTCTAAGAGTTTGAGGTTGCTGTAAGCTATGATGCCACAGCACTCTATGCAGGGTGACAGAGTGAGACTCTGTCTCAAAAAAAAGAAAAAGAGAAAGAAGAGCAAGGAAAAGAAAGCTGTGGGAACAAAAATAGTACTTACTCACACAAAGACAGATATCTAGAACAATGGGAAGGGAATAGAGAGAGGCCAGAAATAAACCCTTACATACAGTCAAATGATCTTTGCCAAGGATGCCAATACTACACAATGGGGGAAAGGATAGTTTCTTCAATAAATGGTGCTCAAAAACTAGATATCCATATACAAAATAATGAAAATAGACTCCTACTATACACCATTTATAAAACATAACTCCATATGGATTAAAGATTGAAATGTAAGACATAAAAGTATAAAAGTCCAAGAAGAAAAATTGGAAAAGATTCATGACATTGAAATGAGCAATTATTTCTTTGATATGATAAGAAAAGCATAAGCAACAAAAGCAAAAATAGAGAGATGGGGAGTGCATTGAACTTAAAAACTTTATAGCAAATGCAACAATTAACAGAGTGAAAAGGCAAGCTACAGAGTGGCAGAAAATGCATGCAAACCATGTATCCGATAAAGGGTTTATACCACCAGGTACAGTGGTGCTGGCCTGTACTCCTATGTATTTGAGAGGCTGAAGTGGGAGGATTACTTGAACCCAGACATTCAAGACCAGCCTGGGAAACATAGCAAGACCACCATCTCAAAAACAAGAAATAGAAAATAAAAGGTTAATATCCAGAATATATAAAGAAACCCTTAACCTTGATAATAACAACAGAAACAACACAAAAAAATAGCTGGTACAGACTGAATTTTGTTTCCCCCAAATTCATATATTGAACCCCTAATCCTCAATGTGGTGGTATTTAAAGATGGAGCCTTTGGTAGGTAATTAGGGTTACATGGAGATGATGGGATGAGTGCTTTTATAAGAAGAAGAAAGAGCTTCCTTTCCTCTCTTGCTGTGAGACCTCTCGTCAGAGCCCAACCATGCTAGCACATTGATTTTATACTCCCAGCCTTCAGATTTTTCAAAAATAAATTACTTCTTAAGCAACCCAGTGTATGCTATTTATTATGGCAGCCTGAGCTAACTAGTACAATGGGGAAAAGACTTGAATAGACATTTCTCCAAAGAAAATATGTCAATGGCCAAGAGGCAAAAGAAAAAAATGAACATCGGTAATCATCAGGGAAATGAAAATTAAAACCACAATGAGATACTACCTAATACTTATTAGAATGGCCTCTTTCAAGTAACCAGAAACTAAGTATCGGGAAAGATGTGGAGAAATTAAAACTCTTGGTCATCGCTAGTGGATGTCCTAGTCTGATTTTTGCTGCTATACCACAATACTACATTTTGGGTAATTTATAAAGAAAAGAAATTTATTTGGCTCATGATTCTGAAGGCTGGTAAATCTAAGGCTAGGCATGGCACTAACATCTGGCAAGGGCCTTCATGCTACATCATGACATGGTAGAAGGGTAAGTGAACATGTGAGACAGAGCTAGAGAGGGAAGGGCCAAATTCATCTTTTTCATCATGAAGCCACTTCTGCAATAATTAATCCATCGATGAGAAGCCTTAATAACCTGATCACCTTTAAAGACTCTGCCTCTTTATATGGCAATAAAACTTCTAATGCATGAACTTTTGGGGGACACATTCAAACCACTTCAGGAGGAATGTACAATGGTACAGCCACTATGAAAAATAGTATGGTGGTTCCTCAAAAAATTAACAATAGAACTATCAGAAATCCTACTTCTGGGTATATAGTATCTCCAAAATAATTGAAAAGAGGATCTCAAAGAGATACTTGCACAACCATGGTCACTACAGCATTATTCACAATAGCCAAGAGATGAAGCAACCTAAATATCTATCAACAGATGAATGGATAAAGAAAATATGGTATATACATAAAAAAGAATATTATTCAGCCATAACTAAAAAGGAAATCCTGTCACATGCTATAGCATGGGTGAACCTTGAGGACATTATGTTAAGTGAAATAAGCCAGTCATAAAAAGACAAATATTGTATGATTCCATTTTTTTTGAGACTGATTCTTACTGCATTGCTCAGGTTCGAGTGCAGTGGCACCATCCTAGCTCATAACAATCTCAAACTTCTGGATTCAGAAGATCCTCTTGCCTCAGCCTCTTGAGTAGCTGGGGACTACAGGTGCCTTCCATGATGCCCGGCTAATTTTTTCTATTTTTAGTAGAGACAGGGTATCTCTTTTGCTCAGGCTTCTCTTGAACTTCTAAGCTAAAGTAATCTTCCATCGTTGTCCTCCAAGAGTGCTAGGATTACAGGCCTGAACCATCACACCTGTCTGACTCTGTATTATAACTTCTCCTGTCAAATCAGTAAAATAGGAAATGAGCATCTCACTCCTATTTTCTAATAATTGCAGATTATTTTATTTACCTGATGCTGTCTCTGGTCAATAACATGTGAGAAAAATCAGGAAAACTGATCTTTGAGGATTTCTCAAATCCTCTCCCAGAATCAAGACAAAGAATCAGATTCATTTTTGAATAAGAGGATCATGTAGTATGACTAAATATACCTAAATGAATTATGTCTTTATGTATCTTTTCTTAATATGATAATTATTTCCCCTCTTCCTTTTTCTTTCTCTCTCTCTCTTTTTGAAACAGAGACCCAGGTAGTGTGCCATGGTGTTAGGGTAGCTCAGTGCAACTTCAAACCTCAGGCTTAAGGGATCTTTCTACTTCAGCCTCTTGAATAGCATGCCAAGATGGCCAGTTATTCTTTTTTTAATTTTAGTAGATATAAGGGCTTGCTCATGCTCAGGCTTGTCTTCAATTCCTGAACTCAAGCAATCCTCCCCTCTTGGCTTCCTAGAGTGCTAAGATTACAGGCATGAGTCATGAGGCCAGGCCAGTTGTTTCCTCTTGTAAGACATTTTATTTGCTAATTGATTATGAGATTAGTGTTAGAAAGCTTTTGATGGATTTACAGCTTAATTAAGATTTCATTAATTGTACTATGATTAACTAACAATGTTTAGCAAAAACTATCTTTGTTAAAAAAAAAAGAATGACAACTTTTATTTACTAATTTAATTTTTTTAAGAGACAGGATCTTGCTCTGTTGCCCAGGCTGAAGTGCAGTGTCCGGATTACAGTTCACTGTAGCCTGGGTACATGCAATCCTCCTGCATAAGTCTCTGGATTAGCTGGTACTATAGGTGTACACCACCACATCTTGTTAATTTTTCTTATTTTCTCTAGAGACATGGTCTCACAACAGCTTAGACTGGGCTTCAACTTCTGGCCTCAAGCCATCCTCCTGCCTTGGCCTCCCAAAGCACTGGGATTACATGGGTAAGCTACTGTACCTGTTCTAAATTTTGAACATGTGGAGAATGAAACTGGAAAACCTATACATCTATATTCATTCAGTCCAATCTCAGCATTCTGCCACAACTGCTTCAGAATTTTTTTTTTAATTTCAAAATTCAAATTCAAGGTCTGGTGCAGTGGCTCACACCTATAATTCTAGCACTCTGGAATGCTGAGATGGGTGGATTTCTTGAGTTTAAGAGTTCCAGACCAGCCTGAGCAAGAATGTCTCTATTAAAAATAGAAAAATTAGCTAGGTATTGTGGCAGGAGCCTATAGTCCCAGCTCCGTAGGAGGCTGAGGAATGAGGATCACTTGAGCCCAGGATTTTGGGGTTGCTGTGAACTATGATAATGCTACTGGTACCCAGTGCAACAAAGTGAGACTCTGTATCCAAAAAAATTCAAGATTTAAAAACAAAACTAAAAGCAAAGAAAACCCAACCAAGTCACAGTGGAGCCATCTGCCAGCCCTTCCTCCTTTTGTTGTGATAATAACTGTTCTGATTTTGGTATTCCTATTCATCTTTTATATATTTATTACTTATCATATCTTTAAATAATATATATATAATTATTTTAAACATTTAAAACTGTATATGAATAGCCTTTTACTGTATATGTTATTTGGCAGCTTGCTTGTTTGTTGAACATTTCTGTTTTGAGGGAAGACTGTGTCATTTGTTAACTCCTAAGATGTAACTGAGACCTAAATCCAGGTTGGTTTCAGGAGGTTACTTCTAAATCCTCTGGCCCCTCACCTTGTTGCCTAGGTGTCCATTCTTCATCAGAATCCTCAGTGTCATCCACCTTGTATTTGGTGGCCTGTCTTCGGTGACACATGAAAGCCGGTCGAGGGGCTCTGAGACCTGTCAGGAAGCAAAATCTTTGTCCTGAAAGGAAAAACCTGGGAGGAGGAACAAAGAGCAGTAGCAATGGAAAGTACCACAAAGGCAGTGCAACTCTGTCAGTTGAGCTGGGTGATTCTCAAACAAAGTCAAGATGTGAACTCTGGGCTCGGTGCCAGTAGCACAGTGGTTACAGTGTCAGCCACATAGGCTGGCAGGTATGAACCCAGCTGGGCCAGCTAAACCACACTGACAACAGCAACAGCTGCCGGGCATTGTGGCAGGCATATATAGTCCCAGCTACTTGGGAGGCTGAGGCAAGAGAATCCCTTAAGCCCATGAATTTGAGGTTGCCATGAGCTGTGACGCCAAGGGAGGCATAGTGAGACTCTGTCTCAAAAAAAAAAAAAAAAAAA